GCTCTTACAAATCTCCCTATAGCACCTTGTCAAAGCTATGAGCAACAGTAGAGCTCCTGTAACTTTGTCTACAACTATGCAAACAGTTCATATTTGGATTACACTGGAAGTTGTTTGTTTGTTTTTAGTTGGAGCTTTGATTCTAAAGAAGCTGAGCAAACTGACCCCCAAATGCTTACAATGGGGCAAAAAGTACTCCATAGTAAGACAAATATCATACATCCCTTTCAAAACAGGAAATAGTTTGTTGCTAAAAATTACTTTACTAATTTCCTATGCCTGAGGATGCCGCAAAAATCATGCCTGGCCTGGGAAGTCACCACACTAGCTGCAATCAGTAGACATTAACTAAAAATTTCTCATTAATGAAGATGAGCAAATATAATTGTGAAACTGCCTGCTGTTAATGAGGCATCTCTGAATCATTGTAAGCTTAGCCATTCCCAAAAGGCAAAGCTCACAAAGCTTCCTACTACAGCCGAGTCCTTGGTTGTTGTTTTTTTTTTTTCAGGCATTTCTTTTATGCTCATAAGCATTAACAGGCACAACTAATGGGACACTGTCCTAACCAATTAGACCCATGGGCTGCAGACAAAAAATCATTAAAAGTTAAAAATTAAAAATGTCTGTTTTACAACGCAGATCATTAGGCTACTCATTTTATGTTTTAAAGATACATAAATCTAATCTTAGTTGCTTCTTTATATGGGCTATATGAAAACATCTGAGACATTTTAATGAAAATACTTCTATTAAATTGTCAAAGTTTTAGCAAAATGTCCAGGAATGGTTAATACATTCCATGGGAAACAATGTTTCTTACAATCTCCCTTCCCATTCCTGCGTGTTTTCATCATACATCACAATACTTTGGGGAGATAGTTCTTCCTCATTTATGAAAAAATCAAACGCACTTTTATAATAAATAATGTGTTTAGTTCCATGTACAAAATGACTTTTCTTACCTGGAACTCATTTATATATTGTGTCACCACAAATTCATGCCGCTCATTTGGGGAAGGTTCGACTAATATATCAGGCAGACTTTTATGAACTTGCATTTTCTTCTGAGAAGCTGTACCATTTAAGTGACAATCAAAACCTATATTACCCGGAAGCTGAAACCTCTGGTCCTGAGGGCCAAACGGTCCCATTACTTCATCAGGCCACACAGTTCTTGGATCTGTCAAAAAGTGAATGTTTTTATTAGTTTTCATGTTGGGAAAAATGTGATTTTAAGAGTCAAACAGTCATTTCAATGCAATCATGTAATATAGAAGATAACCCAGGCTTTAAGCAAAATCAAGTGCCTTACCATGCAGGAAAAAAAATGTCTTTTTTTTTTTTTTTTTAAAGAGACACTGCTAGTTTTCGGATATTAGGTATCAATAGAACATAAATGCAATTCTTTTTTTCTTACATATATCAGGAGGTGTAGCAGCAACGTAAGGCTCATCTGAGCCAGAGGATCCTGCTGTAGAAAAAGCCTTGGGATTTACTATCCTTCTGACTAAGGAATAAAATCCTGGCAGGTAGGTCACCAGTCTTGCTCTGTTACAGAGCACCTAAAGAAGACAAAAAATGAGAAGTGAATATCATACTACAAGTAAAAATAAAGAACTATAAAACAAAAATTTGCTCTATAAAGAAAAGGTTGCATTTTTTTCAAGAAAAATTGTCCTGCTTTTGATAAAAGTAGAAGCCCATCCCCAGCTATGATTAGAAGGAAGAAGAAGCATAGGGAGACAGCATATCCACATACCTTTGTTTGCCTAAACAAATATTATTTTGTTTTGTGTTATAACACTTAATAAAAGCCCAAACCCCTATAACACTAGACAAAATCAACACAGGTGAGGAACACTGATCGAAAGTTTCAGTACTTTGCACTAAGAACTAGCACACCCCCATTATGTAAAATTACAACGGGATTCTTGAAAAGCCAATAATACTGCCGTTTTATACTGCTGTGACAGCTTGTGCCCAGAAGACTGCCAAGTACTCAGAGTGCATATACATTTCTTTTACAGTCCAAAAATGAAAAAAACAAACAAAAAAACCTTAAAATAAACAAGGCATACACGTATCAAAAGAGACAGGCAGTGGAATTACTGCTATGGTATGTTTCTGTGATGCTACAGAGTTATAGATGGAAGTCCTAAGATTAGTACAACAGACATTATTTTGTTTTGCAGATACATATCACATTTTCAACTTCAAACATGCCAGTATATGGGTTATCAGCAAGTCATACAGCTCTTGTGCAATCCTGGAATTTGCCAGGCAATTAGCATCATGTCCAGAACTGTGTTCCAAATCCAACATTGTATTTACAGGAACAGATCTAGCCCTATAAAAAGAAAGCCCCAAAAACATGAACTACAGAAGATAGTGTTGTTTTCCTGAGTCTGTAATCCACCTGAAATAACTCCAAATAATAACGTGGGTGAACTCCAATACTTAATTTAAATATCAATAATGATAACCATTTTATTTATTTATTTTTGCTAAAAACAGATCTCCAGCTAATATTCCTATGGTCACAACTCCAATCTGGTCCCTTGCTTTAAAAGTTGTTTTTTCCCTATAATCAGTTCTACTCTCCCTATACAAAAGTCTGTAGCATATTCAAAATGATAAAGCATAAAATTGAATTCAACACCAAATTAAACTATGCCAACATGCCAAGGAGTTCACATCATATTTTATTCAACAGAACTTTCCATTTTTAATGTGCCTGCAGCTACCCCAGTATTTTCACCCCACTAGATTGCAGTATCAGAAACCAGCTCTTCATGAAAATCTTCCAGCTTGCTACAGAATATTTGGGCATTATGCTGCAATTGTCTAAAATGGAAATACTTTGAAAAGTTACTGAAGCCTGGAGATGGCAATCCTAGACAAACAGATATGCAAGCTTACTTTTAAATATCTCAACAGACTTTCTTACTTCAGTAAAACTTCTCATATGCTTAAAGTCAGGATTCTGCCTAAATAATCAGAACGTAGGCCTTAAGTGGTGAGGACTCACATGCCCTGTGTATACAGTTAACCAATATCTATCTAATATCTATAGCAATAATTACCCAATCCTGAAGACATTAAAACACGTAAGTTTAAACTTTTGACACTCGCAAGTATTTGCATGAAATTGCGCCTTAAATTGTATAAGCCAAATATTCTAATAAATTCAAAAGATGTCTGCCCTAGTAAAAAGTGATCAAGTTCACCCTGAATCCCCAAAATGCTTTACTTTAAAAAGCCCAAACTCAAGCACTAATATCAAACCTTACAAGATCTATTATAGATATATATAGATGTTACATGCAAAACATCACCATACATAACCTGCAACTATCGATGTGTGTAACAAGACCCCCTCCCCATACAACTCTGTGAAAAGCAGAACTGTCGCTTACATTAGCCACCAATTAACAAGCAGAGGAGGATAGTTAATTGGCAACACTACCTGGGATATAGTCCAGGGAATAAAGTATATGGCGCAAAGAGACTAGTTTTTAGAGAAATGTATGTACATAACTTTACGCAAGGGAGATGTACTTAGTCTAGTTTAGGGATGTAAATATTGTTTAAAACAATTACACATTTAATCTCCTCTAATGATATTGGTTAAACAATTAAACAGTTCCGCAACAGAGAGGCAAGGCAGTGCAGGGAGCCAGGGCTGAGATGATATGCGGGATTGCAGCAAATTCCTGTAAAATCAGCAGGCTCCACGGGGTAAGCGTGGGAGCAGGCAGGCAATGGCACTAGCAGCAGCAGGGCAGGGTGGCGGGGCCCCTGACTCAGGGTTGTCCAGTGTTGGGGGAGTGGCTCTGGCAGGGCTTAAATAGGAGTGAGTGCAGCAGCAGGTGCCTTAGGTGCCACAGGAGTGGGCTGCACAGAGCCAGGTGCCCTTCCCCCCACCCACAAAGCACCCACAGGGGCTCCCACCTATTAGGACAGCTGTGCCATGCCCAGGTAGTGTCTCCAGTCTGTGGATATCTGCTGTTTCCTTCCCCATTTGGATGCAGCCAGCAGCCAGACTGGCACCACACTCCTCCCACTCGGCTGAGGGCTTGCCCTGGTGCTGTGGCTCCTAGCAGAGGATGCTCTGCCCGCGGGTGTGATCCTGTGCAACACGTCCATTCACCACGTGACCCTGCTGAGCAGTGGCTACCAGAGCTCAGGGGACAGGCAGATGGGCAGGAGGGGCCACCTGGGGCTCTGGGTGTCTATGGACTGAAGGCACTGTCTGGTTGTAGCGTGGCTGTCCAGCAGGCGGAAGCCCCTGTGGGTGTTATGTGGAGGGTGGACCTGGCTCCGTGCAGCCCACCCCCGCAGCACCCAGTGGCAGCCCTGCTGCAGCACTCGCTATTTAAGTGCTGTCAGCTCTGCTATGTAACTTTGCCCAGCTCCACTCCCCCAGGTAACTGCTTGTTACTTCCCTGCAGTCATGTGATGCTGCAGCCTGGATCCAGGGCTGCTCTCACGCTGCCCCTGCCGCAGCTGCTCCCCGAGCAGCGGGCAGCACTGACTAAGCTGGGAGCTGAACAGTATAAATATAATTATTGTTTAACCTTTTACATCCCTTGCCTCATGAGTCAGAAGCTGGGCAGAAGACAAGGCAGAGAGACACCTTATAGACTAACTGTATCAGAGATGCACAAGCATTCATGAGTAACAGTTCACTTTATGCAGTTAATTCATTAATAAAAAACTAAACATGGTTCACTTGTGCTCATGATGCTTGCCTGATTAGGTTGGTCTGCTGGGTGCACCTCTGCCTCTGCCTTACCTTTTACACCAGGGGATATGCCCACAAGTGTCAACTGGACGATTTGGGTGCGTTTACTAATGACGCCCACATGGGCGTCTCCATCCTTGGACCTCAAAGGGCCCATGTATTAACGGCCCCCAAACAGCTTTAGTTCCTTTCCTAAAAATTACCCCGCGGTGCGGGAGTACGGTGTTCGGTTCACATCAAAAACAGACGTGCAAAATCGTGAAAGGGTCCAGGGAAGGGGCCACAAGAACCATGACGGGCCTGGAGGACAAACCTGATGAGGAAAGACTAACGGGTCTCGATGGAGGGCGGACTCAATGGCTGTCTATAAGTACATAAGGGGTCAATATCGGGAGCTGGGAGAAACCCTGCTCACTGGGGCGCCCCAGGGCAGGACAAGGAGCAGCGGCCATAAACGGTCAGAGGAAGGTTTCAGGGTGGACGCAAGGAAGGACTTCTCTGTGGTCAGGGCGACCAGGATAGGGAGCAGACGTGGATGTCGTCCAGAGCAGACTAGACAGACACCTCGCGGGGACCATTTGCCCTCAGCAGTATCGCTGCCCACAGCAGGGGGTCGGACGCTGTGATCTGCCGGGCGCGGCCATTGATGTCTACGAGCCACATGAAGGCAGCAGGGAGTTGGGAGACGGGCCCCGGCGGGCCTGCGCCGGGCTGTCTCCAGCGCTCCCCGCGAACCGCTCAGCACCGTCCCAAACGGGGGCCCGACAGCGGGGCCAGGCCGGGCTCCAGGGGCCAAGGGCCGGGCTG